CGCCTGTCCATGGTCCTCGGAATCTATGGCATCGAACACGTGGGTTGCTCAGGCACCAGGGGGCTTCCCCACCCACTTCTCCAGGTGCAGTCAAGACAGGCGACGGGCATCCCCATGCCAGGGGTAGCCACGTGTCTCGCATTTTTCTGGAGCTTTGCAAGTGTGCAACTGCCTTACACCGTCGTGTGGGGGTTCCGGGGTGGACGTGCACGGGGATCGCCAGGCAGAGCCCTCGTGGACTGGCGACACTTATTTTAAGGTTGCAAGCTGCTCCTGTCAATGACTCATTGACTATCATAGTTACTCTCACTATTGTATTGCGATCTCCCAGCTCATGCTGAGGAAGGTAAGGCAAAGATCGCCCTTTGGGGGCAGGGACACTAGACGAATGAGCTTAGACCGAGGAAGCTGGGACTCCCCAGGGTACAGGCAGGGCTCCAGAAGGAGCAAGCGGGCAGCCCAAAGGGTGGACGGTCCACTTGGCCCCCCGACAGGGGGTTCTGAAGCTGCGCTGTCTGATTGGGTAGCTACCAGCCACATGTGGTTGTTTGGATTTCATTTTTTTTAAAGATTTTACTTATTTATTTTTAGAGAGGGAAGGGAGGGAGAAAGAGAGAGAGAGAAACATCAATGTGCGGTTGCTGGGGGTCATGGCCTGCAACCCAGGCATGTACCCTGACTGGGAATCGAACCTGCGACGCTTTGGTTTGCAGCCTGAACTCAATCCACTGAGCTACACCAGCCAGGGCTGGATTTCATTTTAAATGAGTAAACTAAAGTTAAAAATCCCCTCTGCCCCTGGCACTGGCCACATTTCGAGTGCCCGCGGGGTTGAGGACTTCTGCAGAGACACGGAGACGTGGGAGCGGCCGGCCCATCCCCGCGGCCGGTGCCGGTGGGCAGCCTGGGTCCAAAGACTCAGCCGCAGCCCCTGAGTGAGGCATTGGAAATCAGTCACGTTGTGAGCTGTCTCTTTTTCCTTTGCCCTCCTTCAAGGAGCTGCTGTCCTGGCTGCCCTCTGGGGTCCCTGCGACCTTCCTTGTTGCCCCCTCCGAATTCCTGGCCCAGAGGTCACCAGAATCTGAACAATGGCAGGAAGCGCCGGAGGGCTGGTCTCCCCTAGCAGTGGAAAGCTCCCAGGGAAGCAGGACAGGGCCTGCTCCGTCCTGCCTGCCGGGCTTCAGCTAGTCTCCTGCCGCGGGGAGGGAGGGGCTCCGGGGGAGGAGGAAGGAGACGTAAGGTGAGGCCTGGTGGGGAGATGACACGGTGCCGCCACCGAGGCAGACATCTGTGCCCAGACAGATAGAGTTCCGCAGATACGATCTCTGTCACTATCCCTGCGAGAGATAAACAACTTGCCAGAGCCCCGAGCCGGAGGAAGTGCCCTCTGAGAGCGGGGAGAGCGCAGCCCGGCTCTCCGCCCCTGCGGTCGGGGGCCCCGGGGTGCGGCGGACAGTGGGGGAGGGGTGGCAGGCAGCCCCTGCGCTGCGCAGGTGACAGGAATCACAGGGCCCAGGCCACAGATGTCAGGGCAGAGAAACGTGTGAGCACTGGCACAGGAAGGGTGAAGGTTCGGTGAGAAAGAAAGACAACAGAGAGGGCAGGAGGAGGGAAGGGGCTGACGTGCACGCCCGTCTGTATCACTTGTTACCTATCGAGCGAGGTCTGTTTCTAGGGTAAGAATCGGGATCGTTACCCCAGACCTTCTGCCTATGAGCTCTGCAGGACTGGAGAAACGTTTCTAGGCTCAGAGTAATGATCCATAGAATGGGACATCTGTTTTTTTTCATAATGTTTTTTTTAAGATTTTATTTATTTATCTTTAGAGAGGGAAGGGAGGGAGATAGAGAGAGAGAGAAAGAGAGAGAGAGAGAGAAACATCAATGTGCGGTTGCTGGGGGTCATGGCCTGCAGCCCTTGCATGTACTCTGACTGGGAATTGAACCTGCGACACTTTGGTTTGCAGCCCGTGCTCAATCCACTGAGCTACACCAGCCAGGGCAGGACATCTGTTTTAAAGCTATATTGTAAGGATGTGGCAGGATTTCCCTTTGAAGCTTGGTCAACAAGTTGTTCCATGATTCAGATTTAGGTGGAGGATGATGGATGGATGATGGAGGGATGATGGATGGATGGATGGATGGATGAATGGATGGATGGATGGATGGAGGGCTATGAACTCTATTAAAAGCGTTTCTTTCCAACTAATGGTACACACCTCCTTCGCTCCCAGGGTACTGGGGCCTTTCCAGGAGAACCGGTGGGTCTGATGCAGTTTCACACCCTCACAGACGCGACCAGTAGCACAGCTCCAGGCACATCTGCTCAGTGAAACCGGAGGAGAGGAAAAGTGGGAGGAAGACAGACAAGGGGGGAATGCAGTAGAAGCATATATTTCAGATCTAAGTGATTGACATCAAGCTATGTCATGAAATATTTGTCCGTGTGAAACAACGTTAGAAGACAGTGATATCTGGAGTTGTGAGTTTGGGTTCAGGGTGGGGTTACAAGTGAAAATATGGGGCACCCAGTTACATTAGAATTTCAGAAGACCAAGGAGTAGTTTTTTTTTTCTTAGTATGCTTCATGCGATATTTGAGGCACACTCCTGCTTAAAAATGCGTTGCTCATCTGAAATTCAAATGCAAGTCGGAGACTTGTGTTTTATATGGCAACCCTGGCTTAGGGCCTTCGGGCTGGTTGGCAATCTACGCACGACTGAGCGCATTTTACCAAACAGCCACTCAAGGGGGCTCAGGGCAAAGCTTGGTTAGTAATGAAGGTGCTGTTGTTTCCCACTGCTCCTTGCACAGACTGTTCCCCGAGACCAGCCCGGCCGCCCAGTGAAATAAGTGCAGTCCTGTCCTGCGTGGAGCCGGTGACTCCTCACGCCACGGACCGGCAACTTTGGCAGGGACTGGAAACTTACTGCGCGTGGGAGCGTCGGAGGGACTTGACATTTCCGCGTGAATGAGAATGTTCAGTCCGCAGTAGAAGGGACATTCAGTGACCAACCAAGCCTCGGCCACCCTGGTCCTCCACTTCAGAATTGCTCCCCCCCAGAGGCAAACACGGCTCCACAGACGTCTCTGAGACGTCGGGGAGTTCCCGACCGCTAGGCCTGGGCGGGTTGTGGTGCCTCTTCGCCCATCCGCCCTTTGTCCCACGTGGGTGCTCGGTAATATCATCTCTCCTTTCGTCTCCTGAGTCGGTGTTTTCTGCACATTCCCTCTCTGATACGAGCAGTTACCTCTGAGTAGGTCCGTTCTTTCTGTCGTCACCCACTCAACGCCCGCCGTGGGGACGGAGTCCCAGTTTTCATGAGGGTCTGACCACCCTAAGGACACCAAGTACTCCTCCCTGTTCTTCGACAGCCTCTTCTCCAAGTTCCCATTCGTGACGTGATGTTCACCCGAGAATTCCTTCACCACGAGGAATCATTAGAAGTACCGATTTTTTTTTGAAAAACTACGAGTAGCAGAAGCGCGTGCTTTGATAGTATCAGGCGTGTGCGTGGAGGTACTTGCAGCCTCTCTCAACGCCCCCAAGCCACGCCACTTTTTTCTGCAGCGTTTGATCCCATGACGTGCTTTTTCCAAGACTCGTCTCCTTTCCCATCCTGGAGCGGTCTTTCCAGAGTGGCAGGGATGCGACAATAGGTTGCAGTTGCTATTATTAAAAATTACTACTTTTTTTTAGACTCTGTTGCTTTCGTTACCCGGTGGGATGTCGATCCCGGACCTCCTCCTTGTTTGCCCTCCACCGGGGAAGTGATGAAACCATTCATTATTTAAAAGTTTGGGAGCCACGAGAACTACAGTATCTAACCAGATTGGATTGACTTTTTAGCTCTTTTGATGAATAATTCATAAACCTGAGGGTGTGCGCATGGGGTGAGCGCTAACCTGCTAACAAAAGGAGAGCAGGACATGAATGTTAACACGGCCTCTGTGTTATTTTACTTAACACTCCGCACCAACAAAACAAACCCATGTGTCACGGAACCTGTTTCCTAATTTCAATCCACAATCAATATTTCATGATTAATGGGCCCATATGTTCGCCCGGGGTCCCTGCCGTGAGAAATTTGCACACGCGTCTCCCCTGTGATCATGTACAAAACGCCTCCTTCGAAAAGGAAGGATCTGGCTCTCTCTAACGAGAGTGCATGTTCGGCTCGCCTTCCAGATTGCCCGGGTTCTCGGTCCCCCTCCCTGGACTCCATACTGGGCGGAAGTCCTCTTCGTACCCGCGGAGGGTTCGCATATCAAAGCGGGAGCTGACTCTCTTGGACAATCGGAAGTTTCGGCTAAAGGTGGAACTTACGAGACAGGGCTCTGCCATTTGCAGATGACATACACTTTTTTTTTTCAACCTGGCTAACGCAGTCACTGTAAAAATGACTTCAATGGGCATCTGAGAACCCGATGCTGTGCCCCGCCTCTGTTGTTCACTGGGCGTGAGACCGGGGCCAAAGGAAGAACTTTATTGATCTGAGCTTCCTATTCTTCATCTCTTACACGCTGAGTAAAACCAGCCTTTTGGTGTTGCTCTGAAGAAGACAGCAAGATCGTATCAGCCACCTACACAGCGGCTGCTTTATAGCAGGGTCCTCCTCATTTAGGACTTTAATATGTATAAAACGTTAAGTAGCACTGATGCTCTTAACCATTAAATACTATTCGTATGTGAAGTGTTGTGTTAGTCGGCAGAACAATATTAAATTGTTCTGTTGGTGTGATGAAGTGTGTAGCAAAAGCACTTTGGAAACTATCGTGTTTTCAAGCAGGGGTTGGCCTTGATTTATTTGGAGCAGAGGCAGCATTTTTAAGGAACAGCAACAACAGCAACAACAACAAAAAAAAACATGTGATGTAGGTTATCTAAAAATAAATGCATTTAAATTCAGAACAATAAAGGCATAGCTTTGACATTGCTTTCATAGGCAAGGGATACAACTTTTTCCTTTTATCGAAGTTCCTCATAGGAGGAGAGTTGGTTAATAATTGATCAATTTCAAGGATTTCTAAAAAAAAAAGGTGTAAGAATCTTTATTCGACCAGTTTTCTGAGAAAACTCTCGACTTCTCATTGTTCAGGGTCCGTTTGAGCTCAGACTTTGTGAGATTTCACATCAAAATCCCTTCTTAGGAGACTCTGATAAAAGGATGCGAAGATCTCATGTATTTGAATTTAAAAGATGGTTACGTTTTACAGGCAGCACACTACACAACAACAACCACGTTCAGAACTTCCTGAGTCCTTCCGACTCACACACCGAGGGCGTCCGTCCGTCCGTCCGTCAGAAGGCCCGGGGCTGGGGCCCCAGACGTCCCCGCCTGCCTCTGTCCCTGCCTGCCTCTGCCCCAGGACAACTCCAGGGCACTGGTTAGGCCCTTTGCTCACCAGCTCTGGAAACAGACCGGCTTTTTCTTTGGGAAAAAGCAAGACACAACAGGAGACAGCGAGGCTTGGAAGTCATGGTCATTCACAAGTACCTACACCAAAGTCCGAGCATGCCCCCTCTCACTGTTCCTCGTCTGTCGATCCTGAAAAGGAACTGGGTTTAATATTTCTTTCCCAGCGCCCTCAAGACTCAAGGGAGAAGACAGCTTGCATTCCGGTCCCTTTAGCTAGTGAACTGGGGAAAGCAGTGTCTCAGTAATGCTCCCTCAATGCTCCAGAACAATCTGTTACGTAGAACTTCCACTCTCAGAACCCTGAAGTGACAGATGGCTTCACAGGGGTCTTCGGCCTGTGCGATCACTTAATCACATGCAAAGCCATAGGTTTTGGTTTGGGGAGACATGGGATCTCCCTGGGTGCTTAACCTTCGGTCACCGGTAGTTACAGGCAAGCTTTTCTCCTCTCCCCGGAACAGAGACGCACAGGGCGGAGCGGAGCGTGGTCTGCGACCCCACGCTCCCGACTCCGACCGCACAGAGGAAAGAGGGTGAAAAGGCACGTGGACGAAGTGTTCCAAATCCAGTTCCAGCAAAGAGCATGGGCCCGGTTCCATCTGTCTGTGCTGCGTCGTCCCCTGCAGAGAGAGGACAGGGAAACAAGAGGGACACCAATAGGTTTGGGGCCCCCTGCCAGGGCCCAGGTGGTGTACCAGAGACACCCCTGCATTTCCTGATTCCACACATTTCACAGGGGTCACGCCCTCTCACCTGGGGTGGATCTAGGGTCCTGCCTCCCCTTCTGGACCGGTGTGGAGAGCCGCCCCCCCTGCCTGGTGCCTCAGCGTGCGGAGCTGCCGGCGAGGGCGAGGCGCCACCCTCGACGCCCAAGCAGTTTCTGCCACTGCGGGTTCCAAACAGTATTAACAGAAATTACTGACATTTGTCTTCGCCCAAGTTTTTTTTTTTTTTCCCTTTCCCAACAGGGATTAGGAGGAGTAATCATCTCCTGCCTCTCATCAATTACTTCCCCCGTATCGTTTGCATTTTCCCGCGGAACCGTTTTGCAGGTATAACAGAGCAATCTTTGCAGATAATCTGGTGATTATTACGCATTCAGCCTCCCGAGCTACAGGCGCCAAGAGATGAAAACTGCCGGGGGTCCACTGCTGCACGGCCCCCCCATCAGCGCCTCTGGACTCCAGTCCCGAGGTGAAAATGCAAACAGAGGAGATATTTAGAATCGTTTTGACAGTTCATAAAATTAAGCAGGGATTAGGGATTTGCTTTCTCAAACAGCGCCAGAGGGTGCGCACCACGGCAGCCATATCACCCCGCAACAGGTCGCGTCAAAGTTGAGCGGACTGTCGAGGAAGAGAGAGAGAGAGAGAGAGAGAATGTCAGGCTATTAAATCCACCATGTATCGGCTGCTGAAAACCCATTTTTTAAACTTTAAATTAACTGCCTGCCTAATGGAGACGCTCTCCCCAGCTCCCAGAGCCGGCCCTCCCCCCACTCCCGCGGTTCCCCCCCCCCCCCGTGTCTGCTTTGTTCAGACAATAAGTGATATCGCGCCTCTGTCTGTGCCCATGACTACGTCTCGTCAGAGGGGATGACTGTATAAATATGCATGCCGTACAAATAGTTTAATTGTAATTGGGACAGAGTAGCTGATGCTGAAACCATTTGTGTAATTTCGAATATCGCATGTGATGCGAGCACGTGGCAGGCGCTCCCGACAGTGGCAACGGCACTGGTTTTAACGGCCGCGGGGGTCGGGCGCCAGAGTGTGGATCGGACCTGCCCCGGTCTTTCTGCCAAGGGCCGTGTGGTTTTGACGGATCGGTTCCCTTCCCAGGGCCTCGTGTCCTCTTCAGGCCCTAGAAGGCTTTTAGCCCCCAAATGCCCTGAACGTGTGGTTGTAAAGGAACGTCAGTCACACTCTCTTTCAGGGGCCAAAAAGGAGCTCCTGATGCTCAGCGTGTCAGCCAGGCGCGTCCCTGCGAGGCTGCAGTAACGAGCATTCCCAGGCGGCGGTGGCAACCCCTGGTGGCAGCGTCTCTGTCTGGTGCAGCTCAGCGCGGTTTCACCTGGGGATCTAGACCTACAGAGACACCGCCCCCTGGCCGCTGCTGCGTCGGAACCCAGCACAGCTCCTCTACCATGGGAGGCAGACAGGTTCCTGGGGGTTGCCCGTGGAGTCATCTACATGCTGTTTCCCAGGAGCGCCACACGCCAGTCCGACCCGTGTCCGGATGTAGCCGCATGGCCCCGCCTCAGTGGCAGACGGCTGAGACATGCAGTGGGGCAGGTGGAAGTTTTGTTGATCACCCTCGTGTCTGCCTGGATGAAGTCATAAAAGTTGCCCCTCGCTTTGATAAAAGGAGGGGAAACTAACCAGTTAGAACTTTAAATAGGGACAGAGTTAGGCGTGAGAGACCCCAACTACACATTTGAAAAGGGGTGGGCCAGTGGGCGCTCTCTCCTGTTTGGAGCTGTGACTGACCATCCCACCCAGCCCCTGACAAGGTCCCTGGGTGATTGCTGCCCCACCGCTATCCCCACACACCCACAGCGGACGGCGCCAACGGGGAGAACATCGACCGTCTTCGGTGGAGGGGCCTGGTGGTGGCCAGTGTTCCCTGAGAGAGGTGAGCTGGCCACTGGCCTCACGGCAGGGAAGAGGAACATGGGAGCTCAGACGAGGAGTGGTCTGGCCCCAAGTCTGGAAGCGTCATCTTGAATTTGCTTCTTTGCCCAGACTGGAGCGCTCACACTCCCAGCGCCCTGTCTCTGTCAGCAGCCACGTGCAGGGCCTGGTGGGACCCCCGGTGAGGTTGAGTCCCCCCAGGCCAGGCTGGAGCCTTACATATGCGATGTCATGTAGAAGGGAAGGGCATCAGAGTTGGAGTGTGATCTTTAACTTTGCAAGAAATTGGAACTTGCTGTTTTAAATATACTTCTAAAACACACACACACACCACTTGGGTATATAACATAAACTAGTATTCTGAAGCAAAATGCTGCTGGAATTAAACTCTTCATTGCACACCTCTGACACCAACTCTGCATCCAAGCTTTTGCCCTTCAAGATTGGAGAACAATGGACTGGGGTGGGGTGGGGGGTTCCTTCCAGGCAGGAGAACCTGGCCCAGTGAAGGCCACTCCTCTCCTTGAGGGAATCCTTACCGTATCTGTCCGGTAGGTTCTCAGAATTGGTGAGGACCGATGTGATGGGTGTTTCTTCATTTCCCTTTCTGTGCCTCCCTTCTCTCTTTCTTAACACATTGCATGGGGTGTGGTGCTTGGTTTACAATGAACTTGTACTCGAATACAGGAAGAGTAACTTCAGACTTGATATATTAACAAATAGGAGATCCTGGATTTTGACTTCAATCCAGAGATTGGCTGAGACTGTGGATTACTTCTCCTTGAGAAGGCTTGAGTACATTGTGCAAGTATCAGGGAAGAAGATGAAGACTTGTGAGCGTGGGGCAGATGGTGATCCATTGTATTGGTGTGAAATCATTTTCTGGCTCCCCTAACAGAGTGGTCCTTGTGGAAAGAGGATCCTTCCTACCACAGGGATGTCAGCCCTGGTCACATGGTTTGCTTTGTCCCCCAAAACGTGAGTGGATGGAAGGGTGTGGAGTCTGTGTTTGACTCTCCTTCTCCTCCTCTCCTGCCAGGCCCATGTGGCCCAGAGGAGAAGGACGTGTCACAGAGCCACAAACCCCTGCAATCCCCATGTCAAACATGACTCTGAACTACAAACAGACCTTTCCTGCCATGAACACTGCGTTTAGGTTTATCTGTTACTGTGCATTAACCTAAGCTGACGGACACAAGGTAAACTCCTAGGGAGACTGCCACAAATCTCCCTGACATCAAACCCTTTTATTCCATCCAAACCGCCATTGCTTTGGCTCAGGTTGCCATCATGTGCTTTCTGAGCTCTGCAAAGATCTCTCATCTGACTTTTTCTCTGTTCTTATTTCCCTCGGCTCCATCATCCACGTGCAGCCGGAGTCATCTCGGCATAACACAAAACCTGTGCCTTCTCTTTCCCCCTTCAGACCCTTCTTTGCCCCCCTGTTGGCTTCGGAACAGAGCCCAGCCTGCTTACTGTTCCCGGGGCCCCTCAGTGTGTGGTGCCTGCGTCTGGCCCCCACCTCCGTCTCCCTTTCACACACTCTGCCCGGCCCTCATGTCTGAGCCACGGTTCTGCTCAGCGCTCCACCCTCACCCGTGCTCCTCTGCCTTCCCCATTTCCTCGGCTCGGCTGATTCTTTCTCAGACACTGTCAGCTCATGCTTGGCTTCCTCTGCACGTCCTTATCGGATGGCCCATCTCCCCTGGGCGAAGCTCATGGTCCCTTTCTGTGGTTCCGGGACACCCTGTGCTCCTGCGACACCCTTTGCTTGCCACTCTCCTGCTCTGCTGTGTTCTGTTTCTTCCCGGCCTGTAGCAGAGCCCAGGGCACAGGGGAAACTCAGCGAGGTGGATGAGTGAGTGGAGCATAGAGATGAGTGAAACGCTCACCGCCGTTATCATGGGCGCAGGGCTCCTGGCACGCAGGCAGCGGTGACGGCAGGGGGACACAGAAGGCAGGGTGATGCCCGTCAGAGGGCTTCAGAGGGACTCCCTGGCCTGTCCTGCTCTGCGGTCACAGGTCAAGACGCAGGGAGAGTCCTGAAGGGGGCCATTCCTTCTCCCTCCCTCTTCCTGCCCTTCTCCCCCAAGACAGTCCTTTGTGTGGTGCAGGTCCTTCTGAGAAAGAAGGGGGAGGGTCTAAGAGTGACAGACAGGATAAAAGGGTCAAAAGGGGGGCCCTCTGGGAGATCGGTGCTCTGGGATCATGTGGTCTAAGACAGAGAACGGTGGGTGACTTAATGTGTCTTCAATTATGTATAAGGTCATGTGCATGCTCATCAGCAAGCAGCTGTCCTCTCTCCTCCGCGAGGCCAGGGCTTGAGCACAGAGGCTAACCTCGCCTCACCTGAGAGCTGCAGCTGACCGACCGACAGATCAGACATTACTCCTTGGGGCTCCACGTGGGGCCTAAGAGAGCATAACCCTGGACGTGCCTCTGCCTTGGAGCAGGGGCGAGGCCAGCAGAAGAGGTTCCTCCAAACAGCGCCCAAAAGACAAAACCGCCTCTGCAGGTTCTCATTGCAGTTTGTGATTCAGGGCAATGTCCCTTGTGCCTGCACCTGCAGCTCAGGTCCTGCCACAGTTGCTCTTTGGGGAAGTTGTGCCTCTGGGTCTCTGGGTCTCAGTCTCCTCAACTGCAACATGGCGGGGCGGGGTGTTAATGATAATGAGGTAACGTTTAATGAGCACCTAGTGGGTGCCAGGTACACTTCCCAGCTGACCCTCCCTGCCACCCTCTCATCTCTAGCTCACTGATGAGGAAGCAGACAGGTTAAGCATCTTACCCAGGAGCAGATTATGAAAAAGCGCTAGGGCCAAGACTGAGGAATGAGGAGTCCCGCGACCACAGCCCATGCCCTACACTCACACTGATGACCACCTGACTGCTTCTCTAAATCTTCCTTGGCTCACCGCATGGACACCTATCCGTAGGCACACCGTGAATTCCCTTGGCCAACACAACTTTTTCTGTTTTTATTAGTTCTTACCATGTTGAAACTCTACAATGTACCATTTTGTGGTATTATTTTTTATCATCTTCTCTTCCATACAAGGTGACCCCCAAGGGCAGGTACCTGTATCTATTTTGCTCAAAAACGCATTCTAAATACCTAAAAAGCATGGGAGACTTAGTGGGTGCTCAGTGACTGTTAATGAGTGAAGGGATGATGGTGAATGCAAGCGTGACTCAAGGTGACCGAGTCTTCACAATGGCCTGTGATCCTGCCCGAGTGTCAGCATGTTACCTGCCCCGCAGTGTATGAGGCTACAGCTCCCACCAAGGGGTGCAGGTTCATCTTCCACCTTGAGTTGGTCCCCCTTTCAGCAGTTCACTCCAAGGGACTGTGAGTGACAACAGCTGAGGATAAACAGCAACAAACATTATTATCTTTACCATTACTCATTACGGTCTGTAGAAGGAAGACTAGGTGGTCATCAAGGGTTGTTTTAAACAATCCACTTAGGAAAACAAATCATTGAGCTTACCGAGGTGCTTTGGAGAGAGTCTTGGGTAATGCCGGAGCCTCAGTTTCCCTTCTGGACAGTGGGAGAAATGTGACTTGCTCATTCATTGTGTTGTTCTCGGGAGCCAGTACAACATCAAGGGTGCAAGGGTCTTCATATGCACACATGTTGACACGCTGCCCTCAGGTGCCCGCCTCTCTGATATGATGGAGGGAAGATGTACAACCCTTTAAAAAGTTGCCTTTTTTTTAAGACAAAAATCTTTTCAGCAAAACTCACTTTTGCATAACTGTGTCTTTTAGGTGGCTTTCCACAATAGAGGTGTAAAACGGCATGTGCCCCCCCCAAGGTTTCTTGCCCCAAAGTTAACATAGGTGCCCTCGTCTTGACGAACCATTGCTGCTGGGGTGAAAGGGGTGCATGATGATTCATTGCAAAAGAAGGCTATTTACATTTTAACACATACAAGATTCTCATCTGGGGTTCAACTTTGAGAAATACATTCTATACCTCATACAAAAGCGAATCACAAAAATGAATGATTTTCTTTTATTTACAAGCACATCTTCCACATGTAAACCTGACCCTTCCACCCGTGCGAGAAAGTGCAGCCCGGCTGGGATTCCTGCCGGACTCAAGTGTCACAGTGGGCTCAGCTCCACACTCCTTGACACACTTGTGGGCTGTTGACCTGGCTCCTGCTTCATCGGGAGTCAGGGCTGATGGCAGTCCCCAAGGCGTCCTCCCCGCTTCCTCCCCCTCTTACTCTCAGGAGCTCTTCAGGGGCAGGGTTCACAGCTCCTTTCTCTCATCCTTTGGATGTTGGCTTGTAGTTTCTATTTATGGAAAAAGACCCTTCTGTCTCTGGCATCTCAGGGTGTGTGTGACTGATGTAACAATAGCTTAGTTGATGAAGAACACAACTTACTAGACTCAATGGCCTAGAGATCTAGTTTAAGAGTAGCATCTAGGTGGGGTGACAAGGAGATATAAGAAGATAGGAAATAGAAACCTCTCTGTCAAAGAGCTTTACTATTAATGAACCAAAAGCCTTCTAGCAAACTCTGCCTGCAGTTATGTGTGACCATCCCCAGAATGTTGGCAAATCGATATCTGGGATGCATGGTAAGATTCTGATAGGTCTCTGGAAGCCAGGTGATTTATTCCTTGTAAGACCTACTTCTTTATTCATACTTTCACTCACTCAGGCAGACCTCTAATATTTGAGCATTTACTATGGACCAGAAGGCACTGTTTTGATACTGAAGATGCAAAGGTCAATAAAATATTTTTGCTTCATAATGACCTCGTGGGGAAGGCAAGCAGGTATACCATTAAGTGGAATGAGAATCATGGTGACGTGTGGTCTGATCTGTTTTCCTTTTTCATCTCATATGCCTCTGAGACTCATAGGCCCCCAATCTCCAATGACACCAAATTCCGAGAGCAATTTCTTGCCCAGATCCTCAGAGAGAGGACAGAAGCAATGGGTGGAAAGACCACCAGATGAAGAAATGTCTCAAATGACTCTCAAGGACTCTCTGCCCCACCTCTGCCCCTCAAGCCAGTCGGGTGAAGGCTCTGAGCGTCTTTTCCTGGGCTGTGAAACAGGCCTAATAGCAACAATGCGTGGCACTGAGTCTGGTGACATGTTTTCATGTGGAAGAGCTTTGAAAAATCCCCAGCACAAGAGAAGTGGTTCGAAGGCATTCAACACCCCCATGCAGCCGCATGGATTCATGCAGGCGACCTGCTCAGAGGGTAGCGTGAACAGGCCACGAGGCAACGGATAGCAGAGCTTCTGCCAATCGCTTGAAAACCATAGAAAACTCTAGAAAATGCACACAGAACCTGTTTCAAAACAAGGGAGGCCGTTCACTCACTCCCGGAGAGCCCATTCGTGGGACCCCAGGGAGCGCGTGAGCCCCGGTAGAGCGCTATTGGTCTGAGGCCGTATCCGTGGAACTCAGCAGGGATGACCAGCTCCGAGAAGCCACCCCCAGCTCACCCGGGCCCGGCAAGCCCACGCGGACACGCCCACCTCCACCCTGCGCTGCAGGCGGGGCTGTGGGAGCTCCATCTCAGTGTTTCTGCAGGGAAACAAAAGAGCACCATCTGCCAACCACATTCCGCTTTCAGGAAACCGAAATGAGAGCGGATG